CTTGTTCATACAGGCAGGATCAAGCTTGTAATTTGTGTTGTAATGCAATTGGCACTCTCTCCAATTGTAAGTAAATTGCTACAATTTTATGAACAGGTTGTTTTGTAGCAATGATTCTTTTTCTAGTGGTTCAGGGTGGACCCAGTCAGTGAAGCAGCTCTACACTAGCAAGCATCCTTGAAACATTTTTTTTTTTCCTGTTAGTTACAGTGGTAGTGACTTCCTTTGCTAGTGTGCTAGTTAATAACCAATGTGATATAATAAAAGGATCTCTGGTTTTGATATTTCAGTGTTTCATAAAGGTTTTTATATTGTGTGCTTATACAGAAGATGCAGACCTTAAAATCAGATACATACTGACAAACATGTTTATTCTAGTCATTTTGGTCCAGGGCATCTCATTAAATAAATAATACCCTGGCAAGCTTTTTCAGTGTTTTGATGGAGACACTGCTAATGAGTTATCCAGTACAACATACCATGACAGTCACACTGATCTTATCGAATCACGGTACATAACTGTAATTTGTCGTACACTGAGGCAAGAACCACATGAAATAATCTTCAAATATCTTATGCAATGACATATAAACTCTTATGCAAATTGATTCAGAAGGTAACCTTTCTCCCTACCCACAAACCTTTCCTCTTGTTACCACACTGTCTCCTGACTAGCATATTCAAAACCAGCTCTGGTTGAGATCATGTTTTCCATATATCTTCTGCTCTTTGAATGGGTCTCATACAAGGTTCTTGTACAAGTTCAGTGTGATGGTTTGTGCCGTTTTTCTCATATACAGAAGAGAAAAGGATGGACAGATCTGCTGCACATATTACCCTTTAGGGGGCTCTAATAGCTTCTCTTTTGAGCCTGGCTGTAGCTGAGTTGTCAGTCTCTAAACAGTAGCAGTTTACATCCGCCTAATAAAGTTGTGGATTTTAGCAGCTATTTTTTCCTGGAGGTTTTCTTTACAGCTGAAGCTGTTGCTGCTGTTGGCAATGCTAAATTAGGACAGAGTGGTTGGCATACTTTAAATGGTAGAGCTTAATCCTGAGGATTGGGCCAAGAGAAACTTTGGGCAGTTCAACAAGGGAAGTGCATATTTTCATCCCTTAGACAGCCTAACCCTATGCATTGGTACAGGCTAGGAACTGACTGACTTGAGCTGCAGCCCTGCTGAAAAGCATGCAGGGGTTACAGCAGACACAAAGAGGAATGGGAGTCAGCCCTGCACACTGGTTGTAAATAAGGCAAACCACATAGTGAGCTATATTAGGGGGAGTATGGCCAGAAGACTGAGGGAAGTCATTGTCCGCTTCTACTTGGGGCTGGTGAAGCTGCACCTGCAAGTATGTGCATAGTCTTGGTCCCCCCAGTGTAAGATGGACATTGAGGAAGTGGAGTGAGGGCAGCCGAAGACTACCAGGATAATTACAGAAATGACAAAGCTGAAGTCTTCTCAGTAGTTACAGTAGTAAGAAGGGGTAATGGCCACCAAAAAAAAATCAAGGCATTTTTGATAGAAGGCCATGCAGCACTGGAATGGGTTACCCAGAGAACTTGGAGAATGCATTGATGGAGGTTTTCAAGACTCTGCTAGACAAGACACGGTTACCTGATCCGGTGTTGGTGATTAACACCCTGCTTAAAGTAGCACTAAGCCATCCCCAGAATTTTCTCCTGAAGCATGTCTATAACCCTCCTGGGTTTGAGTCCAGCTCTCTTGTGATAGCCAGGAAGCTCTGCCTCTTGTGCCATCAGCAGTTCCCCATGCTCACTACGCCACTACAATCAGAGCAGAGATCTGTCTGGTTCTAAAACTGGGACTGAACGTTGCATGCCTTAAAGATGAGCATCTGAAAGATTAATTCAGAGCATTTGCCTTCTCTGCATCTTTACTATGTTGTTTAATCCAGGCTTAACCTAACAAGGCTGCTGACCTGCAGCTATTATATCCACAGTCAGATACTGATCTCATCTGATCAGGTTCCAGATGTGTTGAGAGAAAAAAATCCCATCTGCAACTCATTACTTCTCAGCTGACACCAATGCCCAAGTGGATTAAGAGTCCTCTTCTCGATCTGCCTGAATTGTTTGACTCTAGCCACACACTGGAACCACTATGTGAGGCCAGTTCTAGCAGCCAAGCACTGTTCTTCATAGAACAAATAGGCGGGCGCTCATGCCAGCTGAAAGTCATCCCAGTGGAGAGGCAGAGGACACTAAGACAGCCACATCCTTCCTGAAACTGGAATCTGGCTGTATGAGCTCATCTTTGCTGTGCTCTATTTGACCAAGACATTAAGCTAATTTGTTTGATTTCTCACCCTGGAGGAGCAGAACACTGTGACAGCAAAGACATCCTACGGCTCGCACCAGCCTCAGTTGTGATATGTTGCAGCAAACACTACCAGTTCCTCCAAGAGCAGGGGCTGCACATGAGCTAAGCTGAGGAAAAGCAACGATACAGTTAAAGTCTGTTGTCAGCAAACAACACTGATTTACAGCTAAGACTAGAACAGCAGCAACAATTCTCACCCTCAGTTGAGTTTTCCAGATAATAGACAGCAACTTCAGCTGTAGCCTGTCAGAGCTCAAGTGCATGGCTGCTCCTTCTTCCCTTCATAAAAGAGAAGGAAGGAACAGAGCAGAGGTAAAACTCTTGTACATCGGGACTCTTAGCTGCATTGTCAAACAAGGTTTAACACACCAAGCTGGTTTTCCCTCTGAGGCTGCGAGCCTGGCTGGCAGGCACTAGACCCAGATTTAGGAGTGTTAGGGAATAAGCTTAGAGTCTTACAAGCCAAAAATACTGTACTGGCTTAGGGCATGGGCATGGAAATATTTTATACAAAGCAGAACTATTCTAATAGGGAAGATTTGAAGTTTGCTCATTCCCCAGTCCGATCATGACAGAAGGGGGCTGCAGTCGCAAACTGCCTCGGGCTGAGGATGGTCTGAGTGCAGATCTCCTGTTTGATTGAATGCTCTGAACACTGGGACTGAAGCAGGAATAAAGTTACGTCTTCTGCAGCTTTATGGAGCTACCCTTTCATTTCCTTGTCTTTTCCGACGTGTGCTCAGAAATGAAACATATCATTTAAGGTCAAATGGAAAATTTTGTTTTATATAGAAGGAGCTGTTGGCTTTTGACATGCAAAAAGAAAGGGTTTGTGTTTTGGCTTAATGCAAGCCAATACTTGTTTCCAATTTCTTAGTTTGACAACTCATTTTCTTTTAACTAGAGGGGCATGCTAAGAAAAGAACAGAAATTATAGAGAGGGAAAGGGTAGCCTATGTTACTGTAAGCTGACTGCACTTGACCTGCAGTATTTTATTCTGTGTCAGTTTGTGTCATGGAGTTTCTCAACAAGATGCACTGAGCACTTTTTGCATAAATGTGTGCTCCTCAATTTTGGGAAGTCTAGTTTGAGACCTTGGGTTCTGATTCATCGTGAGTACATATAACAGAGTATGTAATAAAGTACAATATATAAAGAATGGAGATAAGAACGCCCGTTTGTTCCTCTTTTTTTAATGAAAATAAATCAATATTTGTGAAGCATTTATGTGCTATGATGATGTGAGCTTTACAAAAGCCTGTAAGGAAAAATATTAATTATGCCTTCAGAGTGGGATTTGAATGGCATTCAGTAGGTAAGACACATGTCAAGCAACAAGGAGAAAACAAAGTGGTCATTTAGTCAGCACTACTCAGCTAGTGCCCTGAATGAGGTAGGGGTATTTTGATGACGTAATTACAGATTTAGCAAAATGGGTAGACAAAAGCAGGCCTAATTAAATTTGCACAGTAACGCTTAATTTTGGTATTTCTTAACTGCCCAAGGTGACTTGAGTCTATATCCCCTTCAAGAGCTCCTCCGTCAAACTAAGGAGAGACAACCTCTCTCATCTAGGCTGCTGTCAGTCCTTAGAAATTACAAATTTGGGCATCTAGCTCCCATATGAAGAAAATTTAAGTACGTATATAAAGTACAATGTGAGAAGCAGAAGTGATTGGGTAACCAGCCCACCACGGTAGGTTAGTGGGTACATTGTTGATGTGGAAGATGTGGATTCACATCCAAGAACTCGGGCAGTAAAATTATCTGACAATCCACTAGACTCCTTTTGTAACAAAACTGTCCCCTGAAAAGCAACTAGCAGCAAGTAGTCTCTTACGGTCTTCACTCTCAGTGGAAAAGAGAACGTACTGCAAAAGAATGTCACTGTTATTGCAATGTCAGTAAAAATACCAGATTTAACAGTAACGACAAAAGAGGAATCTGACTTACAGGTAATGCTATGAATATTAGGATTTACTGAATCAAAGACACACTTGTGGTCGGTTTCCACACAAAGATTTCAGTATCTGACAGTTTCATTAGAAGATTCCATTTGGATGGCTCTGTGCAATGCAAAAAAAAAAAAAAAAAGTCATGCACATAGTCAGGAATCTGAAATGACTTTGATGTTTTTCATAGATAGTTGCCTGAGTACCCACTGCATGCTAATGAACTCATTATAATTATGATATGATGATTTTTCTCCTCACTGAATAACAGGAATTTGCTAACCTGAAGCAAGATGAAAATGAGTAAAAAGGAAGCACGGGCATCAGGCTGGCATTTCTCTGCATAATAGTCTCTTGTTTGTAAGCAGATGTGAGCCACTTGAGTTATATTGAATTATTTAGATATTTTTCCTATCTCACATTTGAACTTTTAGACCTCTTTCTATTCATATTTGTTTACATGAACTGAGTTAGCTTTTAAAAAATGCATCAGTGATTTAATGGAATTAGTTACGTGTTGTTTCCAAAAAGTAGATGATAATGATAAACACTCTCTATAGTCAGCATTGGTCGAGTAGGAGGAGCTCACATGATAGACTTACACATGGTTAGAAAGGACAACAAGAAAATCGGTGGAGGTTTCATGGCACATTTGAAAACACACTGTTGCATGATCTAAATGTGTCTTTCTTTAATTTCTTACAGGCTGTTTCCAGCTATGTAATGTTTTTCGGTCCCATGAGATGGAAATTGAGCAGTGCTTGCTGGAGTCCCTCCCTCTTGGCCAGCGGCAGCGGCTGGTGAAGCGAATGCGCTGTGATCAAATAAAGGCATATTATGAACGAGAAAAAGCTTTCCAGAAACGGGAGGGCTACGCGAAAAAACTGAAACATGGAAAGAATCATCGAGTTCGTTTTAATCTTGCTGATATGATACAGGATGCAATCATACGTCATGATGATAAAGAAGGTACTTAGTAATGTTGAACTACTTTTTTCTTTTTGTATAGCTAAAAGTTTCAGAGGAAAAGCTTGCCTGTTCTGCTTACCTATCTTTATTAAAAATACAGTTTTATATGATAGCAATCATAAAGTGACTGTCAGAATAGAATATACAGGCATGTATTGCGTACAACGTATTACAGCTTGTTACTGAAATGAATAAGGCAAACTTCAGAAACTTAATGAATTTAGTCTAAGGTTAATATATGTATAAACTAATATATTTCAAAGCCATTAAGGACTACGATCATCATTACGTGTGGCCTCTTATATACCTACATGATCCACAGAATTTAACACTTGTTACTTTGAAAATTAGTTTCTCAATTTTAGCCAAAATCTGGAGTAATGAATGCTGCTATTAGTGACACTGGCCTAGCTAGAGCAATGAGATGGTGCTGGCCCATAGTCACACCAGATAGTGGGTCATCTTTCTGGTTGTGAAATGATGTTTATGTCCTTTTGAAATATGTAACCACATTTTAGGGGTTCTGTTTTTAATTTACTGGCATTGTTTGAATCCCTGGTGCAGCTGATAGTAATCTGAGGAATTTTGTAATTTACTCCTCCAAAGGGAACCAAACCTTGCAGTAAGGATCTCTCAAGTTTTAGAAGTCCTCAGGAATCCCCATACTGTTGTGTGGGAGGGATATAAGAAAAGAACTGATGCAATGCTTTTAGCAGCCCCTTTGCAAACAGATTTTATGGCAGCTCTTTATAATAACATTAGCGCAAAACTACCTGAATAAGGGAGGCTCTGAAATAGAGTCACATCACGCAAATGAACTGGCAAATGTCTCCTAATTTTTATCAGTTTGATTACGTATGGTTTTTTACTTACTCCTGAATCTTAATTTTAATGGACGTTTGCTTTAACTATCATTGCTTGTCACTGAGAAATAGTCCTACACATTTAGATCTATACAGGAAATGAATCAAAGAGCTCTTGTCTTCAAGTCAGTGCCCAGGGCATCATTTATAACTAAGTTAAAAATAAAATTCAAAACCTTTCTTTCCACTCTCCTAGTGTGTAAAAGTACAGGGATTATACGTGAAGATCTTCTTCCTCCATGTTCCCATAGCTCCCAACTTTCTCTAAAAACCAAGCAGAATACTAGATATGACTTTTAATGTTCTGTAAAAGTCAGATACTTGAGGCTATTTTTGACATTTATGCTGAAGAAATGTAGCTTGCTCATTGGAGTGGTGATGGGGCATTAACAGTCTTTTGTGTTACCCATGCTTGTCCTTGAGCTGCACCCAAATCAGAACAGAAAGTTCAGCAACTGCTGAGACTGAATAGCATGAGCGTAAAGGGAAGATACCTCAGGCAGAGGAAAGTAAGGTGGAGGATGGTGTCCTGCACTTGAAACAGATAAAATATTTCCCTGGAAGCAAGGAAGCTCAAATAGCCCTCAGAGAACCCCAGCAGGACTAACAACACTACCCTGAATTTAAAGCCTTTGGTCTTTTCATAGGACTATGAAAAGGCGTGATTGTTGTCTTTAAGCAGCTTGGGGACCTGCAGGTGCCTGTCTGTGATTTTAGCCAAATGTTCCCAGAGCCTGCTCGCTTTGAGCTGAATAATGCTATACTAAGAAATGTTATCATGCGAGCCAATAAAAACAAAAATTAAAAAAAAAAAAGTGAAACTCATAAATATAAAAGCTGCTCTCCTACTATTGTTGCTGAGTGGAACATCCAACCGTGACTCTTTAGTGAATATACCTACATATAGGATTTCAGTTCAAATTAGACGTATGCTTTTGTAGTAAATATCATATCCATTTACTGTGTTTCATCTTGCTTTATGGAGCATGCAAACTAGATTCCTTTCAGACAAAACTGAACTGGAAGATGTGCTCTGGAAGCACACCTAGCACCTCCAAACAGTAATGGGTTTTCAGTCCATAAGGCCAGGCTAGACATAGGTTGAAGTAATCCCAGTGAAACAGGTATAGCTGGGGAAGTTGGGCTTTTGGCAACACCTGTTTCTCCTGTCTAGTTATTCATATTTCAGTCATTCATTCAACATTCATCATTCATATTACACATGACTAATTACTAATGGGTATATATAGCCAGTAAGCTAATTGTGATGGATCCTGAGTATCCTCCACCTCACTGCAGTTTCACATCAACTTTATCTGTACAGCTGGAGTAAATACAGCTCTGGTGTGAAAAAGATCTGAACCCTCCCCTTCACCGGGTCCTAAGGCAGAAATGACTGCAATATAAGGCTGCAGATGGGAATGAGCACACATCTTCTGGCTCTTCAGATGTCACACCATCTCTTCAGCTCCCTGCTCTTGGTAAAACGGCCTGGGGGACTGAGAGAGAGGTTGTAATAGTAAGTTAAGCAAACAAAGGTGGGAGACAGGTTTTAACAGCCTGTCAGGCTTCCTTTCTTCCTGTAAATCCATGTCTGGTCTCCAGGATCTGGCTTTTTACTGCACAGTGTGCTCAGTAATTGACAGCATTCCCAAATACACTCAGTTTGAATACAAAGAACCAAATTCAGTAATAAGTATTTAAAAAATGCTTCTCTTTGGAAAAGCTGGGCATTGAACAAGTATTTTTTAAAAAGTAGCTCAGTGGCAGAAAGTAGCAGAGAAGTACCTTAACATGAATTAGTAGTAATAATTTAATGAATTAGAATAAAACCCCTTCTTCTATATGAAGAGAAGTTGTTAACCTGTGAAAAACCGGGATTCAGACTGATCTGAATATTGTATATTTTGGAATAAATGCTGAAAGTAATCAAGATGAGAACTCAGCAAATCTTGAAAAATTCAGTTTTATTTACTACACATTAATAATCTGCAGCAGGGTATTTTAATGCAGTTTGAATGTCTTTACTTTTTCAGAGATAATTTTCAAACTAGACATTTTGTTTATAATGAGATATTTAATAAAAAGTGTAAAGGTGTGTTGCAACATATTCAGTACTCAAATAGTTTTGGCAGACTTAATTCTATCAGGCGACACCTTTCCTTATGGTAATTAATTTTGTGAGCTTGAAGTTCAATGGCTTTGAAAAGTTGAATTCCACTTGAGGTATAATATAAATCACATATCTGTGAACAAGCCTGATCCTGCTGTTTAGGATGTATGGGCAGACTGTGGTGTCCAAGAAGAGGACTGTGCAACATGGATGCTTTAAATTAAATAACTGGATACACATAGATGGAGTCAATTTTGTGATGAGAATGTAAATGTTGTACTGTTTTTCTGATCCCTGGGTTCAAAGTGCTTATAAGCTGCAAGCTTCACAGCTCTCAGAGTGTGGGAATTTTGTAAAATGCAACTGAAAATCTCAAGGCTAAAATTCTGGGATTCAAACAGTTTTCTGATTAAGTAGAAAATGTGGATACATTGCATGGAGCTCATGGAAGAGCAACAAAATCAGGAGGAATTACAGAGAGTGATTAAAAAGGAGGAGATGAAGACATATGAGAGTGGTAAAGCAATGCTCACATCTGAATAAGTTTGAACACGGGTGGTCATACTTCAGCAAGAAAGAACACCCATTCTATAGGCATAAAAGACAGCTAGAGAGGGATGGTTTACAGTTCTATGAAGGGAATACAAAAAGTGTAGTACAAAAAGTGGAAAGAGGACGCAACAATAGAATAGGCTAGAAGTAGCTTCCCAAGTGAGGTCCAGGGTCTCATTTCTTATGGAATATCATAAACTATATAGACTGGGTAGCACATGTGGAAATGGTGAGAAGTAGTCTGGTTTGGTAGGTGAGACAAATTGGATAACATTAATATACATAAAGATGAATTTATAATGTGGCTAGTGCAGAGACATTTCACACCTGAGTCTGATCAGAATTTCACTCTTAAGAATTCATTGTCTTTGTTATTCATGAAGAATGCAATATATCTTCTCCAAAATTACTATAGCAGCTGCTACTGGGCACAAAATGCATTTCTGATACTGCATGCTAATAGGTGTGATCATTAGTTGTCATTACAATTCATTTTAGAATGGGCTTCTAGAAATTTTTACCAGTGACCTGCTTTGTCTCAAGCTTAGAAATGAAATATATGCTCATTATATTTCTCACAAAGTTAAAATCTAGAAAAATGTTGTATCTTTCTTCTGTTTGGAGGCATTTTTGTTTGGGTTTTTTTTTTATTGTTCCTAACTGAAATTTGATCTTTTATCTGACTCAGGGAGATTGAAGGGAAATCCTTCTTCTCTTTCTCCCTGCAGCTTCCTGCAATTTCTCTTTTTTGAAGTAACATGCTTTTTAGTGCTGCTGGTGGGCCACATTCACCTACACTACTAACAGTGAGCATTTTGAGAGATTTTGCAACTATCATTCTCAGTGATGACATGTATAGAAGCAGAAGCTGGTGAATAAGTGAGTGCACTGTTTTCTGACACCTGTCTTGTACATCTCTACTGCTGGCAAGAGAATACCTGTAGTTCATTTGCCTTTAAGTCCTATATAGCTTTGTTATGTTAAATCCCTGTTAATAATGGACAGCAGGATATTTGTTCTGCTGACATCAGTCATATAATTTCACTGCAAACTGGGAGATGTAGCCCAGCAGGCTTCTGCGTCCCATTCCTTCCCACTGTGAAATAGGTGTGCTTGCACCTACACTTAGCATTAGCGTGGACTCAGATTTTCTTCTCTGATACACATACTCCAGTATTTGCTGAGCCTGCACATCAGCTCTGACTCATGTACAAGCAATTAGGAAATGAACTGAACAATCAGGAAATAAATTGAGTGAATCTGAGCCCGAGTTTCTGCTTCAAATACAAGGTAGTCATGCTGAACGCATCTTGGTATTTTGACCTCTTGAGAATAAAGGATGTGCATCCTCCCTGAAGCAATGGTGGAGTTATTGCCGCTGACAACAATGGGAAACAGTGACTGCTTTGAAAGAGGTGATTTTTTGAGCGTGAACTGACAGATAAATTTGCCATGATGAAAACAGTACCTAA